AGAGAGAGAGAGAGAGAGAGAGAGAGAGAGAGAGAGAGAGAGAGAGAGAGAGAGAGAGAAAGAGAGAGAGAGACCAACTGACTGACAGAGCGACTGAGACAGAGACAGAGGAATAGGTTATCAGGAAAAATGGAAAAGGTGAGGCAGAGGTACAAATTGCAAAGAAGACAAGACAACAGGATGCATAGAACTTGGATGAAGCTCAACCGGTTGAGGACAAAGTCTGACAAACTCATGACCTGCAGAGAGGGAGAATTGAGGGACGACAACAGAACCAAACAGAGAGGCGTTGGAGGAGGAAAGCGAGTAACCGAGAGAGTAAAGATTGTTTTGTGGAATGCTTGGATCCCCCATATATGAGTCTCGGCACTGCCTGTGTAACAATGTGTACCTCCGACGATCAATACAATCATATCTATTACCTATTTTTGCTGAGCAGTGATCAGAAGAGATCATCGACGTTATGCATACGGCTCCAGGCGAAGGCAAACAAGAAATCAGAAAAAAAAAAAAAAAACAGTAGTAGAGAAAAACAAACAGTTGTTTTAATGCAACAGATGCAAACAAGTGTGTGTTCAGGCGTTAAGCAGCATGCACGTGCTTCTGTATATTCAAACAGCCGTTTAAGGAGGAGGGAAGAATTTAAAAAAGATAGTAACACGTGGTGAACCAGACTCCGTCCACAGACCGCTAAAGGCGATAACGCCAATAAGCCATGTCACAACCTTATTCAGATAACAAACTCAAGAAAAGGTATGCACATTGACATGATTGACTCAAATTTCAGAACAATAGATACGACAAAGAAGCCTTCCCAAAATAAAGGAATTTCCAGCTGGGATGCTCTCTCTTCAGTAATGGCACCAAGCTTCATTTTGACCTTTGACTTCATTTTAACCTTTGACTTCATTTTGACCTTTGACTTCATTTTGACCTTTGACTTCGTTTCAACCGTTGACCTTCGACTTCATATTGACCTGACTTCATTTTGACCTTTAACTTCAGAATAAGTTCTTACCACAGCATTAACCGCAGTTAACTTTCCCACCTTGTAATGTATGCCACCTTCACCATTTGGAGCTCGTTTTTTTTTATTGCCTCTTGAGTTTCGGTAGGAAGCAGGGCCAGGAAAACATGCAGCAAAGAGAGAGAGAGAGAGAGAGAGAGAGAGAGAGA